GTTCTGGGTCGTCCATGTAGATAAACTTACCACATGCAGTCATTACACATGGTTCCATACCTTTATATATCCATGTCGTCAATTTGTTGGTCCTTTACTCATTTACTTGATTATAGTTAAACACGCTACACGTTTGTACATAGTAAATTTATTTTGTGACTCAAATTAAATCAAGTTCAGCTAAACTGGAATTGATCATCAGCTTGGCGTCGTGCACATGTACATATATTCGTCTCAATTTGTGTTAGCTCCCATTTCAAGTTGATAGTGCATGAGTTAATTAGGGTCAAGATGGTCATATGATATACTGTGAATACGTACATCTGATGATGTTCCATATGATGCCGAGCAGGCCTCCGTTGAGGGCGAAGAAGTTGAGGAGGAGCTCGACGATGGCCCCGATTATCTTTGCCGGGTAGTAGGCAGCAGCGAGGGCCTTCTGGATGATCTCGGTGAGCGTGACGAAGATGTCGCCCGGCGTGATGCCGACGTCGCGGGTCGTCTGGTCGCCGGCGTCGACGAAGGCATAGCTGGTGATGGGCCGGCGCAGGATCAGCAGGGACAGGATGTCGATGAACCGCACCTTCTCCGGTCGGATGATCAGCTTCTCCTCCCCCAACTTGGGACGACCAGCAGCAGCTGATCCGGCCGCCGCCATGCTCGCCGAGGGCGAGTGCTTCTTCCTAGCTTAGCCTGACTACGTGATGTGTGTGTAGCTAGTGAACGATCGATGAGCTCAAGGCACACTGATACACTGGGGAGAAGGGGTGCCTTTTATAGGGCTTTGGAGGGAGACAGGCAGGGCCGGGCCAAGCCGGGCCGGGCTGGGCTTGCTGTTGAGTGATTGATTGGCTAGGGCCAAGGTAGATGGCTAGCTAGGGTTTTGCGTACGTAGTAGGGCCGGTGCATGCATGCGCTTGCTGGCTTGTCACCGCGTTTTGTGGATCACGTGGCATGTGACTCTGAGCTGTGTGGCTCGATCCTTCACCGGCAACGTCTTTTATTTACCAGTTGTGGGATTGGTGGGTGACTTTCTTTAGCAGCAGTTGGTATTGGTTATATACTAAATGACCCTTTCTTGACCTTAATTAATTATTTCATTGATCCCATTCAAAATTTATTTCTGAATCTGGTCCTGGAAGTCACGCCAAACCGTTCCAAGTGATTCCTACACTTAATGAAGTCAAATTGTTTGGCTTCACTCACTGTGTGTATGGGGTACTCCAAACGATTTTAAGTGTTTGAAATCTGCGTTTGGTTCGGCTCCACTGTGTGTATAAGCCGCTACAAATGGTTTGGTGTGACTTTGGGGGCTAGATTGCGAAATGTTAGAAGGATGGAGAGGGATTGGTGGAATCGTTGATTGTATTGCTTGATCCTCATGGGCATATATATATAGGAGTACAAAATGATAAACTTGAAGTACAAGACAAGGCAGGACAAAATCCTAGTCTATCCTATACTTCCTAATAATCATATACTCAACATCCCCCCGCAGTCACAACGGTAGCGACGCAGACGGAGAGACTGGAGAAGAATCCGAAGGCAAGCCGACGGACACCCCCTCCCCCAGAGTCGTAACAGTCGATGCATCGCGGAAGTCGTGGCTGGAGTGAAAACCGACGAGGTTGCTCAAGCAAGGCGGTAGCCTTTTGTGCCGTTTGTCGAGGTGGCCGAGAGCGTAGGGTGGTGTAGCCGTGCAAAGAATGTCGTGGTCGATGTCGAGTCGGGGTGGCTGGTGTCGAGGAAGTCACCGTGGAGCCGCGGGCGCAAGGAGGCGCTGAGTTAGTCATGCGCGCAGTGGTGTCGAAGTAGTGGTGCGTCGGGAAGAAGACGTTGTTGACGACGTGGCACGGCGGGTTTGCCAAGCTCAGGGACACATCATGGACAAAGGCACACATCGGTGTTGCCAGCACCGAGCATGCATAGACGAACGAATACGAAGTTGACGAAGCGCCGCTCCAGGCTTGCCAGGCCCAGGGACACATCATGGATGAAGGCACACATCGGGGTTGCCAGTACCGGCATGCATAGACGGATGAAGACAAAGTTGACGAAGCGCCGCTCTAGGCTTGCCAGGCTTGGCGACATATCGTGGACGAAGGCACGCATCGGTGTTGCCAGCACCGGGCATGCGTAGACTGGGACCTGCACGAGCTGTACACCATGTCAGAGAAGTTGGAGAGGCCAGCAGAGAAGGACTCAACAACGGTTCCAGCGCCAATCGGCGCGGGGCCGATGTCACCAACAGTGCTCGGCGTAGATGAAGCTGGCGGGGTAGATGACGGTGTCGCTGGCAACGGACTGGTGCTGGACAAAGATGAAGGGGGTGGACGGGCGGCGGCTTGGTAAGGAGCACGACGACGATGCTCGAAGTAGATGAGGAGCCCGACAGCGTGACGAACACCAGCGCGGACGGTGGTGTTCCCGTGCCGAGGAAGACGGCACAACGCATACCACGGGAGGTTGACGCGCAGGAACGGCGGAGTGGACTGCGGGATTGCGACGCTACAGCCCGAAGGGGCGACGCGGCGGGCAGGTCCGGGCTGCGGTGGGGACCACGGGCCGCGGCGCTATGACCCGGATGGGCGGCGCAGCGATGAAATCCGAGTCGGTGCAACCGGGGGAATGGTCTCGGGACGGCGACGTGGACCATGTGCCACACTCGCTACGGCCTGACGGGGCGACGCATCGGTGGCGCGAGGGTCAGTGCAGCCACGGGGACGGCCTAGAGCGGACGGCCTCGGGGCGGTGGTGGACCACGGGCCGCGGCACCACGGCTCGAAGGGGCGACGCAGCGATGACGAGGGTTGGTGCAGTCGGGAGAAGAACCGTGGGGCGACGGCTGATACGTCTCCAACGTATCTATAATTTATGAAGTATTCATGCCATGTTTACAACAATTTTATATGATTTTGGTATAATTTGGTTAGAACTAACCTGGACTGACGCCGTTTTCAGCAGAACTATCGTGATGTCGTTTTTTTGTGCAGAAATAAAAGTTCTCAAAATGGGCTGAAAATTTATGGTAATTTTTTATGGATCAAAAGAGACCCCCGAAGCACAAGAGCTGGACCAGGTGGTGACCGAGGAGTCCACAAGCCAGGGGCGCGCCCTGAGGTCTTGTGGGCCCCTCGGGCACCTCCTTGACGTGAGACCGATGCCAAAAATTCTTACAAATGCCAAAACCCCCGAAAAGAACCCTAGATCGAAAGTTCCGCCGCCGCAAGCCTTTGTAGCCACGAAAAATCAATCTAGGCCCTCTCTGGCACCCTTCCGGAGGGGGCCATCATCACCGGAGGCCATGGAGGAGGAAGCCAGAGGGAGCCATCATCACCATGGAGGCCAAGGACCAGAGGGAGAACCTCTCCCCATCTAGGGGGAGGCCATGGAGGAGGAAGCACAAGGGGGAGACTCTCTCCCCCTCTCTCTCGGTGGCGCCGGAGTGCCGCCGGGGACACCATCGCCGCGGTGATCGTCTTCAGCAACATCATCATCTTCATCACCTTCCTCATCTCTTTTAAGCAGTCCACTCTCCCGCACCCTGTTGTAGTCCCCTACTTTAACATGATGTTTTATGCCACATATTATGATCCAATGATGTGTTGCCATCGTATGATGTTTTGAGTAGATTTCTTTCTCTTTTGGGTTGATTGATGATCTAGATTGGTTTGAGTTGTATGTTTTATTTTGGTGATGTCCTATGGTGCCTTCCGTGCCATGCACACGTGAAGGATTCCCGTTGTAGGGTGTTGCAATATGTTCATGATTCTCTTATAGTGGGTTGCTAGAGTGACAGAAGTTTAAACCCGAGTAAGGTGGTTGTTGCGTATGGGATAAAGGGGACTTGATACTTTAATGCTATGGTTGGGTTTTACCTTAATGATCTTTAGTAGTTGCAGATGCTTGCTAGAGTTCCAATCATAAGTGCATATGATCTAAGTAGAGAAAGTATGTTAGTTTATGCCTCTCCCTCATATAAAATTGCAATAATGATTACCGATCTTGTTAACAATTGCCTAGGACAATTCCGTACACCGGTCCATCATTATTCCACACTCACTATTTATAATATATAATAGTATATTCTAACTTTATGTTAACAACACCTATTTCTATATTTTAGCTCTCTGGTATCCTGCAAAGCTACCCTCTTCATACCCACAGCGTAGTTTTATTTCTCATTTCTAGATGGAATCAAACGTTCGGTGTATGTAGAGTCGTATCAGTGGCAGATAGGACTTGAGAGAATAGTGATCTTACCTTTAGCTCCTTGTGGGTTCGCATTAGAAATAGAAATATCATTGGGATTCTCCGGTGTGTCTATAACAGGTTCACTAGAAGCATGCAAAGTCCTATCAGTTTTCTTTTTCTTTTTATTAGAAGGACGAGGTGCACCAGCATTAATTCTCTGAGAATCTTGCTCAATTCTCTTAGGATGTCCTTCACGATACAAAGGTTCCTGAGTCATTTTACCACCTCTAGTCATAACCCTAACAACATTATCATTATTCTTACTATTCAACTCATTAAGCAAATCATCATGTGCCTTAAGTACTTGTTCTACTTGAGTTGTAACCATGGAAGCATGTTTACTAATAAGCTTAAGATCATTAACAGTTCTACTCATATAATCACCCAAGTAGTCAAGCATGTGAGCATTACATTTCAGTTGTCTACTAACATAAGCATTGAAGTTTTCTTGTTTAACAATAAAATTATCAAACTCATCCAAGCATTGACTAGCAGACTTATTATAAGGAATATCACCTTCATCAAATCTATAGAGAGAGTTTACCTCTACTACCAGTGTCGGGTTATCAAGACCATGTATTTCCTCAATAGGCGGTAGATTCTTAACATCTTCAGCTTTAATACCTTTTTCTTTCATAGATTTCTTTGCCTCTTGCATACCTTCGGGACTGAGAAATAGAATACCTCTTTTCTTCGAGGCTGGCTTAGGAGTTGGTTCAGGAAGTGTCCAATCATTATCATTACTCAATATATTATGTTGGAAACATGCCCTAGAGGCAATAATAAATTAGTTATTATTATATTTCATTGTTCATGATAATCGTTTATTATCCATGCTAGAATTGTATTGATAGGAAACTCAGATACATGTGTGGATACATAGACAACACCATGTCCCTAGTAGGCCTCTAGTTGACTAGCTCGTTGATCAATACATGGTTACGGTTTCCTGACCATGGACATTGGATGTCATTGATAACGGGATCACATCATTAGGAGAATGATGTGATGGACAAGACCCAATCCTAAGCCTAGCACAAGATCGTGTAGTTCGTATGCTAAAGCTTTTCTAATGTCAAGTATCATTTCCTTAGACCATGAGATTGTGCAACTCCCGGATACCATAGGAGTGCTTTGGGTGTGCCAAACATCACAATGTAACTGGATGGTTATAAAGGTGCACTACGGGTATCTCTGAAAGTGTCTGTTGGGTTGGCACGAATCGAGACTGGGATTTGTCACTCCGTGTAAACGAAGAGGTATCTCTGGGCCCACTCGGTAGGATATCATCATAATGTGCACAATGTGATCAAGGAGTTGATCACGGGATGACGTGTTACGGAATGAGTAAAGAGACTTGCCGGTAACGAGATTGAACAAGGTATCGGGATACCGACGATCGAA